CCCACCCAAGTCCCCTCCCCAGATGGTGGGCGACCCCTCCCCGGAGACAGGATATCTGGCGAAGGGCGAGTCGACTTTCTTTCGGCCGGCCGCTGTTTCTCGCTGCTTGGCTCGCATCAGGCGCCTCAGCTCCTCTTGGCCCACAGGGGGGGCCGTCGTCGGCCGCGGCCGCTGTTTTCCCGCGGCGTTGGAGGCTGCCATGACGGGGACCAGGAGCGGTTCTTCTCCGCTGCCCCGAATTTTCCGCCCAGCATAGTAGGCGCATCCACAATTACGCCTCGAGGCGCGGTCGCGGAGATATTCCGTCACAAAGTTGAAAAAAAAAACCCAGCTTCTCACGCCTGCGCCGATAAGAGGGCGGAAGGAACGAATTCCTCTCAACCATAGAGGTAAAAATAAAATAGAGCGTCAACTGCTACTTCTTTTTGACAGCCTTGTTTCCTTCCTCAAGAGGAAGTTGGAAAGTGAAGCCCTGCTTTAAAATACTTTATGGTATGTGGGAAAATAGTGTTTTTTTAAAAAAAATTTAAAAAGGTAAATTGTTCCGCCAAAGTCAATCTATATTTTATGGCAGCCTTGCAGGGTAGGCTTCTTTGCTACATTGCAGTCTACCTGAGACCAAAAAATTAGCAGGGACGGTGGTTTAGTTTTCAACCAAAAATGCCTCACTCAAAACAGCCTTTAGGGTCCAGTCTTCGTCCTTTTTAATTGCCGTACTATTTTCCCACAGTAGATTTTGCCCATAGCATCTACAGTGTGATACTATTTGAGATACAGCCTTTCTTAAATGGGTTCCTCTTCCAGTTGTCTGTAGGTCTCTGTCATCCATGTGCTTTTCCCATTACATACTCCTTGCTGGGTCTTGTCACAGTGCTGCTTGTGGTAGAGTCAACACTGGCATCTGTGCTGCTATGACATCCACCCATCCTCCACACAGGTGAGTCACAGAGACTACAAAGAACTGATTGCTTACATGCAACTGTTTTAACAGTCATCTGTGATTGTGCTTGATCCTCCCTTCTCTCCTCACTGGATGGCCTGGTCCATACAAAATAAATTAGGCAGCAGACTGGGAGATAGGTAAAATAAGAGAGTAGACTTGATGTCATAGTCCTCCCATCCACAAAAACACAGCCGGTCAGTTATCTTGGATGAACACAGTGTGTAAACGAGATCACCTTGTCTCAATCTTTTGTTCAAAGCAATTTTTAAAAAAGCAGATTTGAATAACCACCTCACTTCTGTTTTCTTTTACATATGTCTGTGCACTTTTTGCTTGTGCTTGAACGTGTGATCCTGGGTGGCAAGTGTGAAGTGAGATCCCAGGTATAGATATTACATTGTTTGTGGGGGGGAACGTACTGCTGTGTGCCAGGAATATATATTGGTCCACCAGCTGCCACATAGAATTGGCATAATGGTCATTTGAACGTATCAGATGGAGAAGTACTTGGGAATTTAATAACCCAAATCCTTTCTCAGGATTTGGTTTTGCTCTAAAGAATCCCACACACCCTATTTAGGATTTAGCTTCCTTAAATAAAATAATGCAGGGGAGATACTGGTGGGTTGGTTACTTATTGTGAACGGCCATTTTATTCTGTGAGGAAGATGCTGAGCAATGTGGACCATCCCCCTTGTCACTCTAGAAAGGCAGGGTTAAATCTCGTAAAGAAAGTTGTGTAAGACCATGCAGAATTGGCTCTTCCCCAAATCTTGCTACAGCAAGTAAAGAAAGGCAAAAGGAAATGAATAGATCTAATGCTGAGAATATGACCAAATGTATGTGAGAATCTAATTGTATGACAGCAACTGTAAGGTGTGTCTGGATGTTTCCCTTCTCAGACACCAGATTCAGTCCTTATGGTAAGTAACCAATGCACCATTTTTGGTCTGAAGTGTGAAGCTTACCCAAGACCAAAACTATCAGAAAAGACTGGGTGGCAAGGTGACAGGTAGAAAAGGTTTAAATCTCACTGCAGGATAGCTCAGTGCTTTGTTGTGCCTTCTTTACAAGGCCTGGACTCAATGATCCATAGGGTTGCTTCCAGTTCTGCAGTTCTAAATTATTTTTATTACTCCAGTACCATCTGTTGTATGACTCCTCTGCCAAAAACACACTCATCAGAAACATATAGATCAGCTTTGGTAATGGAATGTAAAAATTGATGGATTAAACCAACCAATCTACAAATCTCAATTATTGAGCTGTCTATGGAAAAGGGCTGCTGAAGTAGTTGTCATCCTAGTGGAATAAATACCTTTTTTTAAAAAAGGTTTGGGAAAATAAGAGAACTCACAGGCCAGTCAATGCAGGCTCTGAGCCATCTTCAAGTGTATATACAGAGGATCTTGTTCCTTAAGGACAAACAGTAAATTTTTAAATGAGTCAGATTTTCTAATATACTCTTATTATAGATTTTGAGTGTTTGACCCACATCTACTTTTTGCCACCGTTTCTTAGGAGGGTGAGAAAGATTATGACAAAAGTAATGCAACATCAGGTCTTTGTATCTCTGAAACATTTAAGGAAGAATTGGAGTGTAAGGTGACTGGGGGGCAAATCAGCACGTCCACATATTTAGCTGACCATTCATTTAGTGCTGAAAACTGCACAGACACCAAGTCAAAATTACCATCTTCCCCATGAACATTCCCCCTGCTTTGTCTTAATAGCTGAAGGAATAACTACATGGTTAGATGGTTCCTTTCCATGGATCAACAAAGAGGAATCTGGGAAGGCCAGAATGTGGGCCTTGAATGAGAAAATAATCAGATCATTTAGCAGTCTTCTTAGCTCCCTGTCACACTGCTGCTAGAGTAGACATCCTTCAGTCTTGAGAGACTATGGTAACATGCTCTGAATAGAGATCTTGGAACAGTGTCTAGTGTGGCTGAGAAGGCCACTTTGAGAGTGACAACCCCTTCCACACTGCAGACAAATACAATCTGTTCCCTGTCCAGCTCCCTGATTTGGTTGGTTTCGGGACTGCCTCTTTGCCTCGGCCTGATGAACAAGTGTCTCTTCTAACTGGGAGAGGCCATGCTGCACCGCCTACCTCAAGGCTGAATGCTCAGACGTCAAGGTTTCCCATCTGTTGAAGTCCATTCCTAAGGCCTTCAGATCCCGCTTACATATATCCTTGTATCGCAGCTGTGGTCTCCCTCTGGGGTGCCTTCCCTGCACTAATTCTCCATACAGATCTTTTGGAATCCGAATGTCAGCCATTCTCACGACTTGACCAAAGCAACATAGACGTTGCTGTTTCCGTTGTAAATACATGCTAAAAATTCCAGCTTGTTCCTGGAGTACTCTTTTTGGAACTTTGTCCTGCCAGATGATGCCAACAATGCACAGTTGACATTGCATATGGAATATGTTCAACTTCCTCGCCTGCCGTGCACAAAGGGTCGAGAACTCACTGCAGTACAGGAGTGTTCTCAGGATACAAGCTCTATAGACCTGGGTCTTGGTATATGCCATCAGCTTCTTGTTAAGCTATACACTCTTTGCTGCTGCCACACTGGTATATATGATCCAGTCTTTATGGGGCAATTGCTACATTTGGGTAACACAGCCCAGTAAAACAACAACTGTAATTTACTATCTCGCCTCTTATGCTAAGTAAGAAAGAACTGAATAAGCATAAAAGTGGTCAAACCTTCTCCCAACTCCTATATTATTTAAGATAGGACATGAAGTAGGGGAAGTATCTGGAAGTTGAGTCATGTAAACTGGGCTTCTTTCCCACTGGATTGAAACGTTTCACTGCTCATCCAAGTAGCTTCTTCAGTCTTCAGCAGCTACTTGGATGAATAATAAAATGTTTCAGCCTAATAGAAAAGAAGTCCAGTTACCATGAATAAGGCTCCAGATAACCTCACAACGATGACTGAGAATTTTTACAGAAATAGGAGATTTCTCAAGCCAGAGAAAACACAAAGTTGAATGGGAGGAATTATCCTCACCCTGTAGTCCTCATCCTTCATACAAGGATACAGAATTTATGCATATTATATAAAATATGATCAAGGAGGTTATGTAAACAAATATAAAATACAAGGAGGTTATTAATGTTCAGTCAGTAACTTTCAAGGCATATCAGAAGAGCCTTATAAAATGGATTGAGTCTTTCCCAGATCAGAGAATGCACACACATACTCAATAGCACAGGAGTTCTTTATTGCTCTTGATGATTTATAAACTAAAGCAACATTTAGTTAACTGAAACATGTTCGTACAGTGACGTTATGAATTTATCCAAGAAAAACTGCAGATTTTTTTTTTAAATAAAGGCTTTAAATCTGAGCAGACCACGTAAGAATCAGTAAGCAGCAGCCAACATGCAAGAGCCTTACAGGACTTTTCCTAAAATAAAATTCTGAACACTAAACAGGTGCTCCAGAAATCAAGAGCAAACTCTTCTTCTTGCTCACAGAGCAATTATTTTTTGTAGTTACTTTAAAATGTGCCTCATTCTGCTAGGGCCATGTTCTTCGACTGTAATTTATCCATTTCTTGACCAATACTTCCTTCTACTGTATCACACTGTGCAAGGAAAGCCTGAAAACAACATTAAAACACTGTGTAAATGGGGCAAGAATTTAAAAGAATACCATAGTATTGTTACAACAGAAAGACAGCAAGAGTAAAAATTTAGTTTGCTATAGGTTGTACAAAAAAGTAAGCAACTAATAGACTGAACATCTGAAAGCCTAGCATACTCAGAACCATAGTCTGCAAACTGGGAGCCACACCTGGGAATCAGCATTACCTCCCTCAATATTTCCTCTTCATGGAGAATTGCAATCTCTCTTCCTACTGACCCTAACAAATTTTTATATTTGCTAACCATGGTTCCCAGCTTAACCACTGTATACACCATTCCTCTCAGGCAAACTAACCAGGTGAAAGTTACTGTACAGTGGTGCCTCGCTTTACGATTGCCCCATTTAATGACAAAACCGCATTACGATGAATTTTTTTGCTATTGCAAAACAATGTTTCCTATGGCGGAATTTTGCTTTGCGATTATTGGTTCCCTGCTTCGGGAACCGATTATTCGCAAAACGACGATTTTCCAACAGCTGATCGGCGATTCCAAAATGGCCACCGGGTAAACAAAATGGCCCCCCACCGTTTCTGGGACGGATTCCTCGCTGCACAGGCAGCAAAAATGGCTGGGACGGTGAGTTTACAGCCCTTTGGAACACATTAAACGGGTTTTAATGCGTTTCAATGGTTTTTCTTTTTGCATTGCGACGTTTTCGTTCTACAGCGATTTCGCTGGAATGAATTAGCGTCGTAATGCAAGGCACCACTGTATATGCTTTCAAACCAGTGTCCCCAATTTTAGAGGAACACATTTTAAGTATCTACACTTTGGAAATATGTAGCTAATCATTGTAACAAACATTTAGGGACACCACTTGTTTGTTTTCAATTTATTCCTGAAAAAACATGTACAATATTTGTTTTAAGAAACAGTATCACATCTATAATAAGATCAATTATACATATCAAACTATTCTAAGACTGTTTTTTTTTTCTCTCTCTTTAACAGTGGTTATATAAGTTCTATTCGCTATTTCTATATAAAATGAACAACACATTTACTTCCCCATGAACTTACCTCTGATCTGCCTTACTAGATGAAGGATAACTAAATAGTCAGACTGTTCCTTCCTGTAGATCCTTTACATACCTGTACCTTCTTTACCAGCCCCTTCTTTTTCTGTTTACAGTCACTGAAGTTCTCTGGGAGAGTCTAAAGCAAGACAGACAGAAACAAAAACAATGAGGCCTGGTCTTGAAAATAAGATGTAAAATCATATGTCCAACTACAGTCTTCATAATACATACCTTAATAATACATATGCCCAGATTTAAAATACAAAATGGAATCAGTCAGCTAAATAATCTGAACTCTCATCAATCAAAAGCACAGCTATACCGGTATTACACTACATCCTTTGTATTATTCATAAACCACTATAGAACAGGCAGCTACAGCTTATTGTTCTGTCTCATAAATCTTGTGTAACCCTAGTACATCTGAACTGTTAAAGCAACTGCAGGGCATAATCATTGCACAGAATTACCAAAAGCAAGAAACCTATCAAAATATGTAACAATTTTTTAAGATACATAATGGGAGCTGCTGCTACCCAGTTTTCCTGAAAGCAGGTAAAGAAATGTTGAGTTTCTTTCTCTGGCGGATAAATGGAACTGAGGATTGGGCGGGCGGAGCATGCTCAGTATACTCAGTACAAACATTGTTTCTCTTACAGAGCTCTAGAATATTCCGAGAGGACCAGCGCAGGCGCTGACTTAACCCCTTATTGTGTGAATTCACAGAATGACCACTGGAAGAACCATGGTTACAGGTAAGTAACCCGACTTTCTTCTGCGTGGTCTTCTGTGAATGCACACAATAAGGGGTGATTAACAAGCTGGCTTACCGGATGGTGGGACGTCACTGAAGGGCAGATGCCAGGACCGCTCTTCCAAATCTCGTCTCCCTCTTGGCCCTCATGTCCAGTCTATAGTGGGAGATGAAGGTGGAAACAGTTGACCAAGTAGCAGTTCTGCATATATCTGGAAGGTCAACTCCACGTAGAAGAGCTGTAGAGGATGCCACCGCCCGTGTGGAGTGGGCACGCAGTCCTTCCGGGGGAAGTTTATGTTGTAGCTCATAGGCTAACGAAATTGTATTGACCAGCCATCGAGATATCGATGCAGGTGAAGCCGGAAGTCCTTTCTTATGACCAAAATAACATAAGAAGAGCTTAGGAGAGAGTCTGAAGTCTTTGGAACGTGCAACATAAAAAGAAAGCGCTCTCTTAACATCCAGGGAGTGGAGCATGCGCTCTGTCTCATTAGAAGGTTGTGAAAAGAAGGTTGGAAGAACTAAGGGTTGATTCAAGTGGAACTCAGATACAACCTTGGGTAGAAAAGACACGTCCGTGTGTAGAATAACTTTATCACTAAAGAACTGTAGGAACGGTTGATCAGCCCTTAACGCGGCTAATTCACTAGCGCGTCGAGCAGAGGTAATCGCCACGAGAAATAGAACCTTCAAAGATAACAGCTTCAGTGAACATGTGGCCAAAGGTTCAAAGGGAGGGCACATGAGTGCGTTGAGAACCAAGTTCAAGGACCACTGAGGTACTAATGGCTTAAGAGGTGGTCTGAGGTGTGTAAGTCCTTTAAGAAACGCCTTAACAGTAGGGTGAGAAAAAAGGCGCGAAGCAGGTGAGTCTCTGGGTTGAAAGGAAACAACCGCTGCAAGATAAACCCGCAAAGTGGCAACAGACAACTTTAGGTCAAACAAGTAGCGAAGGAACTGGAGAGTTGTGGAGAGTGAGGCCGGGATGGGCGGTAGACCCTTGGATGCGGTAAACTTGAGGAAGCTCTTCCACTTATAGGAGTATAGCGTAGTAGTGGAGTGTTTCTTTGAGTTATCTAATATCTCTTTGATTTCAGGGATATCCTCCACGCTGTAAGACGGAGAGTGTGGAGGTCGGGATGGCAAATTGTTCCCGCGTCTTGTGTGATGAGTGCTGGAAAGTTGGGAAGTCGTATTGAATCTACTGCCATTTCCACCAGAGTTGGAAACCACGGTTGTCTGGGCCAGAAAGGAGTCACCAGTATGGCCTCCGCCGACTGAAGTCGGAGTTGTATCAATGTCTTCTGTATTAGAGGGAAAGGAGGAAAAGCATAAAGCAGGCCGTTTGTCCAAGACAGCATGAAAGCATCTCCCAGTGAGTGCTGACCCACGCCCGCTCTGGATGCATATCGTGGGCACTTCTTGTTCCGTTGAGTGGCAAAGAGATCTACAACAGGGTTGCCCCAACGTAGGCAGAGTTGATGGAATACAGATGCATCCAACTCCCACTCGTGCATCTGATCCAGACGGCGGCTGAGTTGATCTGCTAGAAAGTTGTCCTCCGTGGCTAGATGAACAGCTACCAGGTATATGTGATTCTGATAGCACCATTCCCAGAGAGTTATTGTGAGAAAGAGCAGGGACTGGGAATGTGTACCCCCTTGCTTGTTTATGTAGTACATGGCCGTGGTGTTGTCTGTGACTATTTGAACACCACGACCATGTACTAGGGGGAGGAAGGCTTTCAATGCTTTTATCACCGCCAATATCTCGAGGTGATTGATGTGAAGGGACCTCTCCTGAGGGGACCATTGAGCGTGGACACGATGGGATCCGCAATGAGCTCCCCAGCCAGTGGGGCTCGCATCTGTGGTGACCTGGGCCGTGAGACGTAGAGGGAGGAACGGACGGCCCACTAGCAGATGTGGCGAAAAGGCCCACCACTGGAGCTGCTGTGTTAGCTCCTGAGACACTAGAAGTCTCTTCTCTGGGTGATCCCGAAGGGGGTCGAAGAGGGACAGTAGCCAGATCTGTAGGGATCTGAGTTTCAGCCGGGCGTGTGCGACTGCAGATGTCGTTGACGACATAAGTCCGAGAAGATGCTGAGCATGTCTGGCTGACACTGAGTGACCAGGGTGGAACTTCTGGATCGCGGTGCGGATCTTTAGAATGAATTAGCGTGGAAGGAAGATACGTCCCTTGCGCGCATCTATCTTGGCACCAATGTAATGTATCACCTTGGTTGGGCGAAGCTGCGATTTTTTGTAATTTACGGTGAGGCCCAGGCCCTTGAGTAGACGAAGGGTAAATTTTGTGTCTTTCAGAGCCCTGCGTCTGGATGGAGAGACGACCAACCAATCGTCGATGTATGGGAATACGTGAACACCGTTGAGTCTGAGGTAAGCCGCCACTGGGGCCATGCATTTTGTAAAAGTACGAGGAGCTGTGGCCAGGCCAAATGGAAGGGCGAGATATTGATAAACCGTGTCCTGGAAAACAAACCTGAGGAATTTTCGATGATCCGGGTGGATAGAGATATGAAAATAGGCGTCCTTGAGATCTATGAGAACGAACCAGTGTTTCTTTTTCAATAGGTGTGTGATGGACTCGAGAGTTACCATGCGGAAACGACGAGGATGCAGGTAAGTGTTTAGGTCTCTTAGATCTAAGATGGGTCTTACCCCGCCATCTTTTTTGGCGACGGCGAAGTATCTGGAATAAAACCCGTTGGATATATCTGTTTCTGGAACTGCTTGAATGGCTCCTCTTTGAAGCAGGGACTGAACCTCCTCCTCTAGGATAGGATCTGATGTAGTGTACTCCACCCGTCCTAGAGGAGGATATTCTATAAATTCTAGGCGGTATCCAGAAGAGACAATCTTTAGAACCCAGGAGTCGCTTGTGATAGTAGACCAATTTTGAAAGTAGGGTTGAAGTCTTATGTCTGTGATGGTGGTCGCTTGTGATAGTAGACCAATTTTGAAAATAGGGCTGAAGTCTTATGTCTGTGATGGCAGATGAAGGATGGCTTAACCAGTCAAAGGTACTGTCTGTGTTTCTTTGCAGGTTGCTTGTAAGATTGACGTCGCTGGGATGGTTGGTGACCACGGTAAGTAGAAGGAACAGCGGAGTTCTGAGATGATGCAGATCGTGAGGCGTCCTTGAACTGTCTGAATTGTTGAGAGGGTTGGTTGTATTGGTTGGAAGACCTTTTCCAATGAAACCTATTAAACTTTGGTTGTGGCTGAATGTAATAGGACTTCGCAGTTTTCTTTGCTTTATGTAAGTCCTCAAGGTGGGTGTCTGTTTTTTCAATGAAAAGACCCAAAGAATCAAAGAGTAAATCCTCAACTTTAGTCTTCACATCCTCAAAAATGTTTGCAGCGCGTAACCACGCATGCCTGCGTAAGGTAACAGCAGTAACGAGAATTCTTGCCGCTGCCTCGACAGAATGTCTGGTTGCAATTCTCTGATGTTTCGAAACTGTTTGAGCCTCCTCATATGTGTTAAGGAAAGGTTGTCGGGCCTCATCAGGTAGCATGTGAAGGCCGGGAAGCATTTTAAGCCAAAGCTGTTTCTGATATGCTCCTAGGGCAGTTTGGTAGTTAGCGACCCTAAGTATGAAGGTAATTAAAGAATAGAGGCGTCTTCCAATAAGCTCAAGTTTCTTCCCCTCTTTATTTGTGGGGATAACATGAACCTTCCCTGATGGCTTAGTGCAACTCGTCTCCACTATGAGGGAGTTGGGGATGGGGTGCTTAAGCAAAAATTTTGCATCATCTCCAGTAATTTTGTACATGCTCTCAGTTCTTTTGGGAAGGGGTACCGATGCAGAAGGGTGCTCCCAAAACTCGTGGACAATTTTGAGCAATGCAGGTAGAAAGGAAAGACTAGGAGGCGATGACCTGTCTTTAGTAATGTCACCGAAGATAAGGTCCTCCTCGGGAGGAGTTGGCTCATCCACAGGAATCTTAAGTGTTTTGGCGAGCCTGGAAAGCATTTGTGCATAGGAAGTGAAATCCTCAGAAGGAAACGAATCATGAGGATTGCCTATGTCTGACTCCACTGTCTCCCCCTCTGGTAAATCTTGGGGCGTAGGTTGTGGGGGTGGCTCCTCATCTGAGTCAGGTTCTTGTGATGAGGGGGGGGCATCATCATCTGAAGATAAATCATGTGTCTTCTTTGGACGTGGACAGGGAGCGCTTGGAGCTGTAGGAGGAACAGAAGGTGGGGGCGGAGGGGGAGGTGGGATTGTCGATGCCGAACCGGTAGGAGGAGTGGGGACTATCGGTGGAGCCGAGGGCGGAGCTGGCTGAGGGGCCTCTACCGTCTTCCTCTTGTGACGACGTCGACGTTTCTTCGGGGGAGGGGTCGACGCCGACGATGAAGAAGAAGAGAGATAAATGTACTTCACTTTCCGATGACGATGGCGCCGTTCCGGCGACGTCGATGAGGAGGAGGAGCGAGACCGACGTCGAGAGTGCCGTTTATGGCGTCTTCGACGTGACTCAGAGGAGGAGGAGTCATCCGACGTCGAGGTATAGCGACGTCGAGAGTGGTGCCGGCGTCTCTTGCTATGTTTACTAAGGGACCGATGTCGATCCTCAGAAAGATGTTTCCTTTTCTCGGACTTCTTCCTCGGTGAGGAGGAACGAGAAGGCACAGGAGACAGCGACGGAGCCGGTGAAGCCCGCCCTGATGACATAGGGCTTACATGGGCAGAACCCAAGCTTGATGTTATTCTTACAAGCTGACTTGGCGTCAGAGAGGGAGCGCCAAGGGGTATAGCCGGCTCAGATTGTCGAGGAGGAAGGGGGGTGGCCGCCCCCGACGTCGAGTCCTTTCCTCTCGACGAATCCTCCAAAATAGGGGAAGGGATGTCGGGTGGAATAGGCGAGATCCGCGGAATGGGATCTGCAGACCTTGTTGAGCCCTTCGCCTTGGTCTGCTTGACAGGCTTGGCCACAGACGAGGTCTTGGAAGATTTTTTAGGAGCCTTCTTAGATGGTTTAGAAGGAGGTAAGTCCACTGCCTTAGAAACTGCCGGTGCAGCTCCCTCTGAGATGGAGGCGGAGGAGGTAGATGGTAACTCCATGGATGAGGGCTCGGAGGCCGACAAGGCAGAGTTCCAGAGATGTAATTTAAGTCTCTGCTGTCGGGCCTTTAGGGCAGCTTTAGTAAAGGCCTGGCAATGCACACAATTTTGGGGGGAGTGCGATTCGCCGAGGCAGAAAAGGCAGGTGTCGTGCCCGTCCTGGAAGGGGATTTTGCCCGAGCAAACGACACAGCGACTGAAGGGGCCCGATGGTGGAGGGGGCATAGGGAGTCTCCAAACCCCTATAGGGCCGTTGAAAAAGGCGGGAAAACGCCAAGAACTCACGGAGTGGGTTCGCTGAGCAAAATAGAAGTCCGGATAGCAAAGGAATGTCCGTAAAACGTGCCAAAGAGTAGTACCGAGTAATCCAGTCCAAGTAGCGAAATAAAGTAGGAGAAATATACGAGCTATATCCGAGATGAACCATTCCACACAGCGGAGAAATGGAACTGAGGATTGGGCGGGCGGAGCATGCTCAGTATACTCAGTACAAACATTGTTTCTCTTACAGAGCTCTAGAATATTCCGAGAGGACCAGCGCAGGCGCTGACTTAACCCCTTATTGTGTGCATTCACAGAAGACCACGCAGAAGAACGAACACTTTTCCTGTTCAACTGACTAGTGAGTCAGGGACTTTCCACCGAATAATCCACTTATACATTAGATGGTTGCACGTGGACTGTGAAAGTGTTAAATGAAAGTGAGGATTCTCATTAGACAGAAAGATCCTCTACAGAGAAATGGAAAGGACTGCAACACTTTCTATACTGAGGGGACAAAGGATTGGTATGTGGTGTAGAGACACCTTCTAGACTAGTGTGGAAGAGGCCGATGAGCCAGACAAGTCCTGGAAATAGTATGACTTGAGTCGTCGTGTATGAGGACCAGAAATGCCTGCTTTTCCAAACAGAAAGGGACTTCCCAACAAACTTTGTCTCCCTCTCCTTTCTTTTTGAGGGGGAACCTGCAACTATTTAAGGGTCTCTGAGGGTTTTTCTGCCACATGCTTGGATGTGGACAGAACTATGAAGAATTTAAGTCACTAATATTACAAAAATAACATGTTATCCCTGCCTTCTGGGGAAATAGGATCCATCCTTCCAAATACCTGTCTCCAATCAGGGACAGGTTCTGACAGGGAACAAACCCTCCAGCAATTCCATTTTCCTGTCTCTGAATTCTGCCACAGAACAGCTTATTACAAAATTAATTCTCACTTACCCTGATTTTTTAAAGTATCCATCAACGTTTGTGTGATGTTTGTCAGGGAAGACAGTGGCAGTTGCTCATTTGCCAGGATGCTTTCCAAAGCCTATCAATAAAACAGACCAAACACATAGTAATTACTTCAGTTCCACTAGACTACTAAAAGGTAGCACCAAAAAGTGTTCCATAGTGGTAGAATGGTGTTCACTACTTGTTAGCATCACTCTTTCTTGGACGGAAAAGCTTTGCTCAGCATAACCTGGAGACATGGAGTACCTGCTGAGGATTACGGTTTCGATGGGGGAGGGGGAGAGGAGTGAAGCCTATTAAACTAGTCCTGTGCTTACCATTTCTAACTAAGATTAGCTGAAGCAGGATATTGACAAGCTGGAAAGTGTCCCAAGGAGGCAAACCAAGATGGTAAGTGGTCTGAAGATCAAGCTCTACGGGGAACACCTGAGGGAGCTGGGTATGTTTAGCCTGGAGAAGAGAGGACTGAGAAGCGATAGGACAGCCACATTCAAAAACTGAAGGGCTGTCGCTTGAAAGATGGACTGTTTTATGTAGACCCAGAGGGCAGTGACACAAAATAATGGATTCAAATTACAAAACAGGAGATTTTGCCTAAACATTAGGAAGAACTTCTTGACAGAAAAAGCTGTTCAACAGTGGAATGGACTACCTTGGAGGGTGACAGACCCTCCTTCTTTGAAAGTTTTTTAGACTGAGGTTAGATGGCCATCTGACACTGATGCTTTAGCTGAAGATTCCCTGCTTTGACACAGGGTTGGCCTCGATGACGCTTAAGATCCAACTTTCCAATTCTACAATACTATGATTCAGACCTCAAAAGCAAGATTTTAAAATCTCAGGAAGTGTGCCATGAGTAAACTGAATGAAAAATATTCTAAAGCAATATTTTTTCCCCTAAGAGTCACAGGAGCATAACCAGATAGGCACAGACCACTACCAGAAGTCAAGATCCCTACCCCATACAGATCTGGATACAGCTACTCTACATGTTGGTGGGAAAATGAACAACACTTCATTGTTACAGACTACTTTCAAGAATTAAATGCTTCCACTCAGTTGTTCCCACAACACATCTGTGAGCTTAAAAAAGGGACTGACTCAAGTTAACTTCAAGGCAAAGAGGAAATTCGAGCCTGGGATCCTTAGTCATAGTCCAGCACTTCAACTACTACACTGGCAATGCCAAGCACGCAGAAAGTCTTTACAAACCATTTGTCCAATTCTGATTCAAAACTTGTTAACCATCAGAATAAATCTCTTCCTAGCTAATTACCTGTTTTTTAGTAGCTGGATATTTAATATCAAGAATTAGCTCCTTCACTTCACCTTCAACCACATCTGGAAAGAAAGACAATAAATACATACAATGAAAAATTAGGAAAATCAATTTCATATACTTTATTGGGGAATGGAATTGCAAATCCCGGGATTCCTGTGGTAAAGCAAAGATCCCCCCATCCCCCAGTATCATATCACTTTAGGGACAATGCAGAATAATTATTCCTGTCCAGTTGGTATGATGTAAATTGCTCTGGCTCTGATACAGCATTAAAAACCTTTTGGGTGTGGTCTGCCTGCACGATGGGAATGGTGTTATTAGTAGCAGACTGGCACTGATTAAAGACTTCCTTTTTCTATTTTGGGGTGCACATGACTTAGTCTCATTGCATGTGAACCACATGCACTCCAAAATTGAAAACAGAAATCTTTACCCAGTGGCATCCTCTTCCTGTTGTTGCTGCTGCTACACCCTTTTCATGGCACAGGAAGAGCCACACAACAAGATTTTGGCCAATTATTGCTAACAGACAGGTCTAAGAAGGAGATTCACAAATACTCAGATTCTCCTTATGAAGTTGATTTTTTTTTCTTTCACTGAAACTCTTAGAGGCGTTGGAGCACTGCAGTCCTGGACCTACTGTCACAACTAGCACAAATCCTGGCATCAGTAAGCAAGTATAGCAAATGTATTCTTTAGGAATTGCTTCATTAACTGTGTAGCGACATGGTGGCGCTGCAGGTTAAAGCACAGAAGCCTCTGTGCTGTAAGGTCAGAAGACCAGCAGACGTAAGATCAAATCCATGCCTTTACCTTACCTCATTGCTACCTCCAATACTAGGATGGCTTTAAATGTAAGAAACAACAAAAATAATCTGCTATACCTGTTACTGACCAAATACCCAGTGTAATCCCTATCTAAAGCTCCACCAAACTTCTTACTACAGAATTATTTCCATATAATCTGGGAGCCACTTTCAACAACAGATACAAACTCTTTTATCACCGTCTCACCCAAATGTACCCACCAAACCCCCTTCTATCCAGATTGCAGAAGCAAATGGTAAACAGACCTCCAAACAAATGCACACATATGCTCTTCCAGTTTGCTCAAATGAGATATTGACCAAAAAAAGCAAAAACCAAAAAAACACTCTCGAATGGCAATTTGAAAGTTACATTTTCCCCAAGAGCAATAAATTTGCATACACAGCTATAGGATCATTTGCCATGAGAATAAGGGTGTTAAGCCTGAGATTTGTTTACTGCTGGCATAGGAAAGTATTTCTCTGTGGCAAAGCTGAACTTGTTTACTTGCAATGGAAAGCAGCACCTCTCATCTCCTGAAAATGGATATTAGAGATGGCTGTTTTGAAAGGAAAGCCAGTGAGGTGAGTCAAAGTCAAATGGAAGGAGACTCACGCTTTGCATCCTGTGAACATTTCCTGGGGCTCTGAAGGGCAGAGTGGGAGAGAAGCATCCCTCTCTTGCCTCTTGCCAGATCCACAGGAGCTACACAGCCTAGCAACCTGGTTGGTTTGCTCTGATTTTTTCAAGTTACTGTCAAAAGATGTTGTACTCACTCATAGCTTTTCTTTTCTAACTAGAGTTTAAACTCAAAAACTGCTAGTCCAAATTCAGCTGATTAGAAATAAGCCGAAACAAAATTGATAATACACAAGGCAAAAAGCACCTCCATTTAAAATGTCTAGCCTCCAATTAAACTCTCTCTTTTTTGGCAATTTGGCAAGAATTTCTGACATGCACAGGGATAAGTTAAAGTCATCGTGATTCTCTCCATTCAAAAACTAAATTCCTGATTTTTTCAAGTTACTGTCAAAAGATGTTGTACTCACTCATAGCTTTTCTTTTCTAACTAGAGTTTAAACTCAAAAACTGCTAGTCCAAATTCAGCTGATTAGAAATAAGCCGAAACAAAATTGATAATACACAAGGCAAAAAGCACCTCCATTTAAAATGTCTAGTCTCCAATTAAACTCTTTTTTTTTTGGCAGTTTGGCAAGAATTTCTGACATGCACAGGGATAATTTAAAGTCATCGTGATTCTCTCCATGCAAAAACTAAATTCATCTCAGAAATATAGGCTATTCCAAGATAATATTCCCGAACTCAAACAATTTATGCAGAATAAACATTGCTATACAGTTGTACTGTATTACTAAATTTGTGTAACTTGTCCTATAACTACATCACATTTAACATAACTGAGTGCAGAATAGCATAAACAATTGTTGAGAGCAGGAAAAAAACGTTCACAGAGTTCTTGGGCTGTTTTTCTTGCTTCCTCATTTCAGGAATTTAACTCTTAAAGAACATTTTAGTCATCATATTCTTTTTTATAGAATGCTATCTAAAACTTATATGGGAACTATATGATATTCTGAAAAACTAGAGAAAAGGAACAGGCATCAAGATGTTCTTGGACACGTTAAATTCTTTACTGGAGTAAATAAGTCAACTACTTCTCCATGACTGTTCACTGTTCATATATTTTGAGCATGTTTCCCTTAAAACATGACTCATATTAATCTAACTGCCCTCACATTCATAGTGCACTTATTTTAACATGCTTTGAGAAAGTCTGCTATAGAATAAAAGCAAAACCTTCTGCAACAATGTCAAGCCGTATCAAGTAACAATAAGTTACATTTTTTATTTTCTTCTTTTTAAATAATTGATTTAATTTTCTCTCAATCCATTCAAAATAGCATATCAAAACAATACCTATTGTAATACAATAGTAAATTTCTTATTCATAAACTCTTATGCCTACATCTATATACACAATGTTTACATTATCTCTTTATCCTTTCATGTAGTCTCTTCCATGGCTCATTATTGCATTTTTATGTCTAGCTGACACCACTTCAACTAGCCAGCAGTCCAACCCACTGTCCACTTCATTTACTCTATTTTTTAAATTCAATATGAGATTTCAACAGGGGGTGCCATACAGTATCTTCATACATTTATCTTGTTTAATCTCCTCGCTATACAATTTGACCCAATTTGTAAGTTTCTCCATCAGCACTACTGCCCATACTTTATTTATGTATTTTTGCTAAGTGAGGCCCTGAGCATCTTTCCAGCACCGGGTGATTTCATTCCATGTTGTCCCTATAAGGTTTACCACTAATTCATATGATAGACTTTCATTCCCTCTGGTGAGTAGTGAGAGTAATAATAAAATTTCGTTCGGAACTCTTTGATTTGTTATTTTTTCTAGCCAACTAATTATTTCACACCAGAACTCTTCTACTTTTGGGCAAACTAACCACATGTGTTCTAATGTTCCTTTATACCCCACTTTCTCCAGCACAATTCTGGTATCTCTCTGTTAATTTTATGTAGTTCAGTAGGACATAAGTTACGTAAATTACATTTTATTCTAAACTAGGTCTTAAGTTTATTGCTCAACAGAAGTTGAGAAATAATACAATTTCATACTTTAAAAAGAGGTTGCAGGGAAAAAGATTTCAAAGAGATCATTCATACACTGCATTATTACCTGTGCTGCAGTTATGAAAACACAGAATACTGTAGCTGTACCACAAAACCATGCAGGCTTCCATTATGTTTGAATACCACTCTTCTGTTGGCCAAATGATTGTTATGCTGTAACTCTGGAAAGACAATTGACCTCCTATGCAGTGCAACAAACAGTGTGTCAGCAAAGGGCTCAGGAGAGCTGCGTGAAAATCTTTGCACAGGCATGGAAACTCAGTGAAGGGCTGCAATGATAATTCCCTCCTTGAGCTTGCCTTGACAATGCTATCAGGATTGCTCCAAGTCAGAACCAACTTAATAGCACATAACAATAAATTATTCAATGCACTAAGCAATGAATAAGAGCCATTTCAACATATCAGTGTGTGGCACACACATGTGGGCTTTGCAGAATACATATTTGGTCACCTTTTATTGAACCTTATGCATGGATTTTTTTTATTGCCTTTTCACTTTTCCCCCACTGAATTAGGTTCTTCTTTGATTGTGCATTTTTTTCTGTTTCTCTTTATATATTTATATGCAATAAAAATATATAAAAACAAACCACACATCACAAAGTCTGGTTGAACTGCAGGTAATGTCCACATACCCACAGTTACTACATGGGAAGCCTAATGTGTCAGTCAGTGCTGAGCCCAGAGAAAGTAATTCATAATGGTCACTGATGTCATTTTGCACCATGCACAATGCAATTGAAATTGAGCACTTTAAATGCAACTGAAACACATCCCGCCCAATGATGTGGGTGGCCTACAGCAGGGCACCAAAAGTTGACACAAAACAGGACACAAAGAAAGAAAATGAGCCTACCCAGCTTTAACATTTTAGTTTTCAGCAAGGCAGCCAGCTTCTTCACTAAATGCATATCCTTTGCTCGTTCACTCTTCTTATCACTAGAAGATATTTTTAACGATAAACCCAACATGATTCTTTTCCCGTAAAATGATATGCATGAACTTACTTAGATTATACACAATGAAGCACACAATCTTCAAACACATTATTAAAAAAAACAAAAGGTCCATATTGCAGCAATTGGGGGTAAAGGAAGAGACAAAATAATTCTTCTATAGCAGGGTAAGGCTCATATGCTCCAGTATTCTGTTTCTACCAGCAGGCAAATATGCCTCTAGATGTTCACAAGAAGAGCATAAAAGATTTATCCTCTGGTTTGTCCCTAAGAACCAGAATCATACAGGCATTATCAGTCTGCTAGTGTTCCATAGTCATATATATTTAAATTAATACATGACTGTTGCCAACTCTTGCATGCTCAGCCTCCACAGTGATGAAGTTATGTGACAAATTTATGTTAAGTGCATACAAGATTCAGGTGCAACTGAAAAACTCTTTGTGACCATCATGCAGCTGCATCCCCCAAACTATGAGGAGCAACACTGCATCTTCTAACTGGGGATGGGGAGGTTGTATTTTTTTCCAGCACCACAGTGCTATTGTTTGGAATAATGCAACATCACTGGAAGAGCAGGACAATTTCAAATGAAGACATCCAGCTTCCCTTAAAGATAAAATTATTACAGAAAAGTAATAATTGCATACTTGCAGTATGGAGAAAGAGTAATAACCTAGAAAAGCCTCTCCTACACTTTGAAACAGTAGTCTTGCATCTTCATGAAATTAACTGATAAGTTAGATCAATTATACCATGTGAAATTCAACAAGCCTTACCTCAATGCTAAGTGGAAAGGTACATGAACTGTTTTTACTATTCCTGAGACTGGATCCACAAGACATATTTGGTAGGTTTGGGGATGCCAACTCTGGCTCATCATGTTGTTTAGGCCCATTATTTTATAACCGGGATACAGCAACCTAAACACAAGTTTGATAAATACAGTGAAACAGAAACAGCTTTTTTAAATTTTTCCCCAAAGGCAAATGGAAAACCTCTAGGATCAGGGACAACTAGGTAATTTAAAAGAGAACACTGCTAGAGTCTTATTTTCTGACAACCGTCACCATTCTTCATCAGCATAATAAAAACCTCTACAACAGAGAGAAAAGCATAGTGGATGAAGACAAAGACACTTTTGAACCCTCTGAATAGTCTCAAGAGAAAAGCATAGTGGATGAAGACAAAGAACTAAGACACTTTTGAACCCTCTGAATAGTCTGTCTTCCCTATGGTGAGTTCCAGAAGACAAGTAAACAGTAAGACACTTTTCTGCATGACCTGAGGTTCACGCTGTATATTCATTTGATTTCTCACCTGCAGTGTTTTCCTACATTGAAGGCTCCAACCCTTGGACCTTGTTGTGTGCTCCATACTTCCAAAATTCCTCTTCTGGGAGCATAAATCACCAGGAACTGAGCCACTCTGCTTGGTCCCTGAGAAGTGCCAAAAGGAGAAAAATCTGTTTTTTCCGCTTCCCTTTCATGTAGATCTTCCACAATCTGAATCCAACCAACTTGAGCATCACGATAGCCTGCAAATGAAAGTAAGTGAAGATGCTTATTTGCCTACGTATGACATAATGTTTAAAGCAGGTGTTCCCAGTTCTTCCTCTGACATCACTCAGCCCCTAACTAGCACCCTCTTGTTATGACTGATGCCTGTTCTTCTGGCTGATACTGTATGCAGTACCTTTCCCTCCAGGTCCATTGCTGCTTTCCAGTTTCCTGTCAGCTGCAGCTGCATTACACATGTGTATTTAAACAGACATCTATACATTTGCCACACGCAACTGCATACATGATTTTCTTTGCACAGCAGTATCTGTGCAGAAAAATATTTTGAAACATATAACAAAACAACAGAGAGAAAAAGCACATCTGCATACACAGCAATATAATGCTGTGACACTGATTAGAAATGGCTATGGCAGCAATAAAAGTGTGGGGGGGATCAGTTCTGTAACCATGGGGGGGAGGGTGGAAGAAGCCAGAGTGATTCTTCATATACTGTCTTTTTTTTTTTCATTTCTTTCATCCATATGTGTGATGGTTGCAAGTTGGGATTGTTACTTTCATCGTTCAGATATGCTAATCCCACGCCTTCAGCCAGCAATGCACTATCCTTCAACAAATTCATTCTTAACTAAATAACTCAGAGTAGCCTTTCCATTCACACTTTTCCAGTAACTTCTACATACACACTTTGCGATCTGAGAAGAGAACATTCGCGGTCACTATAAAAGGTAGTGGAGATTACTAGGTTTTTATATACTGTATTTATATATGTAATAAATGTGCAACTGATAGAAGCCAATATAGCATCAAACTTGTTTAGAGTCTCTATCATGGGGTCATGTTAAGTGTCCGCCATTACTAGTAACCTGATGTAAAGAAGAGCATATCTGGATATTTACTGAAGCAAGTAGATGTTTCTGAGATTCATCATGTCAAGATTCTCTGATACTTCTTTATTGGTTTCCTAGAATCTTGAAGAACAACTGGTAATGTTGTTCACTACGTTGCTGAACTTTACTGTAACAGATGCATATTTCAAATCATATTGTGCTGGTTAGCAAATAATCATTAGTAAGATCCACATTTTGAACAGAATAGGAGCAGAAGGGCCGCTGACTCACTCCTAGTGACTCACTCTCAAGGAAGTCGAGAAACATCTAAGGAGACTCTTTAACCTTCACAAATCAATACACCAGCAGACACTTCAGAACCTTCCTGTTACACATTTGAATCACTCACTACAAGATTCAAACAAGAAATCTCTTTAATCTTTTGCCTCCTCAGAGCTAACATAAACACAGGAGTTTCTACCTCTATATGCCCCAAATCTGCCCACATTTTGATTTGAATATATGAGAAAATGTCTGAAGTGTATAAGAGGAATACTCTCCCAAAATATATCTCTGTGAGACAGAGATTGCCTTGGGACACTCAAACATACACTATAGATGTCACTATGTCAGAGCTGAAATCTAACCATTGTGACATTTTCTAAATCTATGCATCTGTAGATTTACTGATTAGTAGAAAAGACTGAAACAGGAAATATACACCTTTCCTCAAGTACATGAGCTAACATACTGTCCCAAATAATATTATCCCAAAAAACATATCAGCATGTTGTACCTTTCCACATACGAACAGAAATTCCTCTTGTAACATCCAACAAAAGAACCCTTCCAAAATCATCAGTTACTGCTGCCAAAGAGTTACAAGGAGAAAGGCATATCCTTTCTCCATGGCGCCGAGAATCAGGAATTCCAAACCTAAAACCAAATAAAACCAAATATATAAAAACTATCTCCAAATTTTGCATCCTTTGCTATTTCATATAAATGCTTATCATGGCTTATCTTAAGTTCCCAAAATCAAAACAGAAATTGAAACACTTAAATTTAAGTAATTTCAGCTTTTAGCTTTCTCATTAGTAACAATAAACCATCTATCATTATCAGCGTAAAACATATTGTGCATTCTCTGACCCCACTTGCTATCAGATAGTCTGACTTACTCATCAAGCAAGCAAGAGGCTAGAATTCTGAATTCAGAATTTTCTTATTATTATTTATTATTATTATTATTTATTTTATTTATATCCCGCCTATCTAGTCGGTTAAGACCACTCTAGGCGGCTTACAACAAGGGGTACAACAATGAATAAAAACAGTTTTACATAAAAAACTTTCAACAATTAGGTTAAACACGAGGAAAGAAAAGAGAGGGGAATCAGGAATTAACTAGAGGGGGAAGGCCTGCTTAGATGGATTACGAGGTTCCAGTGCTTAGATGGATAACGAGGTTCCAGAGACTCATGTTTTAAGTATATACTGTGTGTAATGACAACACCAGAAGGATGTGAGGCAAAGGCCAGACATGCTTGTTCTAGAAATCACAATCACATATCCATATTACAGGGGCCCAACAGAATCCTTGCAAGGGGATACTAGTTCATGCACTCCAAATTACATCAATCATTATAAAAAGACCTCCGATTTAAAAAATATGAACAGTCTGGCAATAGGCAAGTAAGAGGATGTAATACTGTGCTCTTGTTATTTCCTGTGCTCTCTGTTGCTGACTGGCCATAGCTGGATGATCAAGGAAGCGATCATAAACTATAGCTTGCTGGTTCACTTTAAGCCACATCACATGATGGGAAGAAGAATATGGGAACTTTAGCATCTTGCTGTTCATTCACATACTGCTAGACCATATCTTGTCATTCCAAATATGCCCCTATGTAACCTCTACCCTGTCTCACACACTCTTGAGGAGGGCAGTAGCAAAACTGGGCTAGGCAACAGTCAGCCTCTTACAAGGTGGGAAGAGACACACCACATGGCAGACTGTTATGGCAGAATAAAGAAAACAGAAATCTTGTTTGTACGCTAGCATGTACTTGGGCAAAATGTTTGGAGCTTCCACGCAACTCACGGGAATAGTTACATGGCTCCTCTCAAAGAAAATAAATTCTGTTCTATTCAGTACTTGCCTTACAGCTAAAGGAGTTGCAGGCTCTACTTTAGGTTTCTGCTTCTGCACAGGCTCTTCTTCCTGTTTGTTCTTCCAGCCAAGCCAACCACTTCAAACAAAAAAATGCAACATAATTATGATCTCAGTTTAAAGGAAACAATCATTAAAAAAAATTCCACCATACTTACAATCTATTTTGCCTTACCTGGCAGCATGAAAAAATGCTGATGTCAGCTTACTTGCAACTGCTAAAGCAACATGAGACAATAATGGCTGTGAGCTACCCTAAAAGAAAGGCAAAAAGTAATTCATATATTTTCAAAATAGTCAATAATTCCTTAGAACATTGATTCATGAACAGCCTGTCAGGAAACAGAAAAGCCTACTTAATGAACAGCTAGTTAAGAGTTTTGAAAAATCTGCTATATTTGATATAATTTCAAGTACAAGAAAATGATTCCTTTTCTGTGCTGACAAGCTACTTAATATTTCAACAATAAAAAACTTTAGGAACCAAGAGATTCGCAAGTGTTTCAAATGTACAATGTGCCAAAAAGATTTGTTTAAAATATGCTGAGGCTCAGTACTTCAAGTCCGTTGGACAGTAATCTGATTAATAAAAAGAACTCTCATATTCAACAGTAAATAATGTATTTGATAGAAGAATCGTATTTGATAGAAGAACCACATTAAGCATGTGATTAATACAAAGAAGAAGGAACTCAAGCTACTAACTAATAATGACTCAATTTCTAGCAGTTATCATGCTGAATAATGGAATTAAGAGAAAAATGTGAATCCAACTACAGATGCCTGTTGTGTCGACCTATTAAAAGGTTTCTTCTTAGAGAAAAATAACTATTGAATATATGAAACTAATGTGGGTAGGTGCAGTAAACATTTCAGAATATATTCTTGGTTTGCCTGTTTTTAATTTTGTTTTATTAGAACCTTGAGACCCACCCATCACAGCTTGATGTAAAAATGTTAAACCAATTCTGATTCAAGGAATTTGTTTTAATTATATGAACTGGAGGGAAAAATCGCAGTCCTTCCACACAAAAATTCACTATGTTTACTCCAAGATTTCTTCAGCTTCCTGCCACAATTTGGGTTAAGTGGGTAGAAAGTAATTTTGCTGCTACAATTACTGAAGAATTGAGAATTAGGAATCCTAGGTTAATTTACTGCCAAATCAGCTGTCAATCTACCAGTAGATTCAGATCCACCTCCTATCCACCCTAATCTAAGGCATGTTGTCACACTTATCAAAGACACTGGATTACAAATTATGCCAATCTCAGTTTTACTCTCTTGCTAAGCTATTCTCATTAACCCACCAAAACTTCAGAATGTCAGCAGAAACAAAATAACTTAGAACAGACAGGAGGAAAAAGAAATTCCATCTTCCTGTCAGACCATTCTATTTGACAATGACTATCTCATAACAGACATACCTCAAGTGCATAGAAGAAACCAGTGAAAGGATTTGATCCTACAGTTATGTACTGAGACATAGCAGGAGGGTTATTCTTTATGGCTGCATTAAACCCACCAATATTGGAAGCAGTCTTCATTTGATCAAATGGTGACAGAGTCATGATTCCTATTTTTAAAAATGAAAAAAGCTTTAGAAAAAGCCGTTTCTAATGTTCTCTACATAAAATCAAACTGAAATATATTCAAGTTTGTCAAAAAGAAAGTCATTTGATTTCTTGCAAGAGCTCAAACAAGCTAAAAAATTATGTACTATCATTGTTATGCTTTGTTAAAGACACATATCCAAACATGTGATGGAAATATTTTAGTAAGAGTGCTTTGTATTAAAGTAGATAAAGTAGATAAAACCAATGATTTTTTAAAAATCAAATTGATTTAAAGCACAATTTAAATTTTAAAAATCATTTTTATTTGAATCAATAAAAATCAATTTTTTTAAAATTTAATCACTTTTATTTGAACCAAAAGCAGACCTTTCACTGATAGCACAACAAAGGTAAAATACAAATACAATAGTCAAAAAGAAAGTCATTTGATTTCTTGCAAAAGCTCAAACAAGCTAAAAATTATGTACTACCATTGTTATGCTTTATTAAAGACACATATCCAAACATGTGATTTTGTTAACTCGGCAGCTGAGTGGTGACACTCATCCTCCCACCCCCTGGTTGGAGTGGCCAGAAGCGCACAAAGGCAAAGCAGCAGCAGTTGGGAGCACAATTTAAATTTTAAAAATCATTTTTATTTGAATCAATAAAAATCAATTTTTTTAAAATTTAATCACTTTTATTTGAACCAAAAGCAGACCTTTCACTGATAGCACAACAAAGGTAAAATACAAATACAATAGTCTTCACTTATTCTATAAAGAAATTCCAAAAGACTGCACTAAAAGATCAGCTCTGAAACCCCCTGGAGTGGTCTTTCAAGACTTGATGCTAGATCTGTCAGCAACTGGTTATTGAGTTAAGGTTAGGTCCTGCAAGGAAACCGTCAGTTGTGTTTTCCACAGATGCCAGAATCTAGACTAGAGATGGGATATTTATATTTGTTAACTCGGCAGCTGAGTGGGGACACTCATCCTCCCACCCCCTGGTTGGAGTGGCCAGAAGCGCACAAAGGCAAAGCAGCAGCAGTTGGGCTTCATCACAGATTGGCACTCTGAGCAGGATCCCAGTGCTGCACTGCAACCCATAAATGGATGGGTTGGTCCTGGGAGGTGTGCTGAGGGATCCAGGACACCTGGGCCAGGGATATTCATATTCGTTAAAATTATGATTATCCCAACTCTAATCCAAACAGTTCAGCTCAGAATATGGAAAAGATACTGTATTTTTCCGTGTATAAGACTATACTTTTGTCTAAAATCTTTAGACTAAAAATTGACGGTCGTCTTATACATGGAAGTAAGCTGAGGAGAGAACAAAAACTAGTGGAGGGGAAAGCAGGGATCAAAGCTATCCTGCAGCGCTTTGATCCCTTCCCTCCCACCCATGCTAAGCCCCACTTAGATTTCTTAATTTTGGATTAGAAAAGTGGGGGCGTCATATACATGGGACTGTCTTATACACGGAAAAATACGGAACTTATTTTGGATTACAATTTCCATAGTTCTCTGCAGTGCCATATGCCTGTATTTTTATCCATTAGTTCTATGAGCTGCTATGTTTGTACAGTGACTCATAGAAAATGACCATTCGTATAAAACTGATGACCAACATACTACTTACCAACACTAACATGATCAACTATAGTGTCCACATCCTGTAGGCCCCATTTCTTATAGGCTAACGGGGGTGGCTGAACATTCTCATTGCCTGAAGCAGCCGCTGCCCGTTTGATTCAACAGAAAAAGAGAGAGAGATTACATAAAACTATTATGCATAATAAAACCAACAATGTTGATAAATATGCACTGTCAAACTGATAAAAGTTCAGGAAATATTTTTTTTTACCTTAAAGAAAATTGTATTGTGCGTTTGATTATTTCATCACCAAACCAAAGATAAATCAAAATATTAAATTAAATATTAAACAGTCCTTAAGGCACTTACCTATAAATCACACTGAACATAAAAGGACTTGCTTTTAAGTAGGCATGAACAGATTGGCTAGGTACATTACTCCTCAGACAATATGGTGAAGTACATTTGGCAATCAATAATCATGTTCAAATCTGTTCAGGATTCAGCATTCAGGAAGACATGGCCTTTAGCAATCTGCAAGATTTCCACACTCAACTCTTGGGATACGGTGAGAAATAGACTGTAGTTTGTGTCACAATAAATGAATTAGCCTTCCAAATGCTGTAATACTTAGGTGTTTCTGTTTCAAGAAATTAACACCACAGTCTTGGAAATAAATCAAGCTAAAGCCTTTTTTTCACAATATAACTGGGATAACTGAATGTGTGGCCCTCTGGGTATTGCTGAACTGCAACACCCAACATGCCACTTAATGAGGAAGAAATTATTTTCTGAAGTGGACCTGCTTTGGAGTCTGGTGATTTTAATGTTAGCTGTCAAGTTACCAGTTTTAAAAGGTCAGATTGCTGGGCCAGAGCTTAGGAGATCCAAATTCATGGCTCCGATGAGTTGTAACTTGGTAACTTTGGGACAGTTGTTCTCTCTCAGCCTAACCTACCTTACAAGTTGTTGTAAGAATAATGTTGGGAAGAGGAGAATGTTGCCACTTCAAGCCAACAGAGCAATGGCAGGATACAAGTGTAATTAATACATACATCTTTCTTTCTAATATGCAAAGTGCATTGCTTCAGATTTTACTAAAAACAGTAAACTGCTAAATACCTCTTCACTACTGGAAGCCTTACAAATGTATTGAAATTGGCTACGAACTTCAGCCTACCTCTTGCTACTTGATTTCGACAAGCACGGAGGGACTGGAATAGGCTGAAACCATCAATTGTCACAATTGCTGCAGGGTATAGGATGCTCAGCTCCTCATTCTGAATAAAAAGAAAAGGAGTAAGCAAATAAGTTTGTAAGCAACTGTATATATGTTAATCAGTTTGGCATAGAGCTAGGGGTTGGACTTGATGGCCTTATAGGCCCCTTCCAACTTCACTAATCTATGATTCTATGATTAAAGGTTCTAAGCAGACACTAGGGTCCCAACCAAGGAGGTTACCTGCATCCACTTCTGTTGCAAGATTAGAACCCGAACTCAGTCCCTAATATAGAGCAGAATTTCTGCAACTATCAATATACGTTCACCTTTATTAAATGTAATGAAGCACAGAGAATCAACATGGTCTCTAAAAACAGGATTTCAGCCATTGGGTGGTGGAAACAATAATGAGCAAGGACTAAGAAAAGTATGCAAAGCTGATTTGCCGAAGAAGAATGGAGCAGGGCGAAGACATAAACACATAGCCCTATCTCTTTATTATGGTTATGGACTGCGTCTTCACAGATCTACTGAATTTTAGTTACATGAGCCATCTGGACAGTTGTTAAAAGTCAGTTCTGCTCTGAAGGACTAATATAGGTGAGACTGCACTATACCCTGTAATGATTTCACTATTTTAGTTCTGCTCTGAAGGACTAATATAGGTGAGCCTGCACTATACCCTATAATGATTTTATGTATCTGTCATATTACCTGTTCTGTAACTCCAGGATGGCGTGGAATCTCATAAGTTCTGCATTTAAGCTGCAGAACAGGATCTTCATTTAAAAGCTGTGCCAAAAGCAATACTCCATTCTAAAAAGTGGTAAAACAAATGTAAACTTTTATTCCTTGCTGCCAAAAGCAATACTCCATTCTAAAAAGTGTTAAAACAAAAGTAAACTTTTATTCCTTGCTTTAGTTGTGGAGGGAGGAGCAAAACATGTCTACAAGTCAGGCTACAAACCACAAATTTTCTATGATTACACATTACACTTTCCTGACATTATCTCTTGCATAGAACTCATTGTTTCAGAAAGCTGATGGTTCTTTAAATATGCACAAATACCAATCTAATTAACAGCTGGCCCTTACAGAATACTCATAAAAGAGTCTATGTGCTAAAATTTCAAAATAATGCAGATTACTTCGGTCTAGGAAATGTGTGATATTCATACCAGTCTTTAGCAAGCAGGCAACTCACAGTGACCAGTGACTCACCTCTGTGTAGAAGCGAACGTAGCCAGAGGTGAAGCCTACAACGATGCAGGTCCAGTCAGGTCGACCTGTGGAGCTTCTGTATTACACAAAACAGAAACCAAAAAGAATAGTGTTAGGTCTTTCCTAAAACCCAGCTTCCATTATTCTGATGATATCATGATCATAGTATATAAAGGCAGACCCCACTTCTTTCAAGAATTCTAACTCATTTAAACAAAGGTTACTCTCACCTCTTTTGACTTGCCAGTGGAATGCACAATACACTGCTTACACATTCACTAGAGACAAAAATAACACAGGGATATTAAACCATTTGTTTCTGTCACATGAAGCACAAAACCATCTTTTAAATAACATTAGAAACTACCTACTGTTTGGACAACTTTGGTGCTTTTTTGTCTGAAATCTGGTCCAAAGAGTCTGGCTTAAGTCATCCATATACATGGCTCCAAACCAGAATGCTTAACAATTAAATCTAGTTCCTTAGCATCCTATTACAAACACATACTTGAGTACTTTTTGTTTATAAAGCAGCTTCTCTCCATTCCCCCCCCCCCAATTTATGATATGGCTTTTAATCTTCCCACAAACTGTCATATTTACACAACACTGCACAAATGTAAGCTACTGAATATACACACCCATTTAGTACATAACAGAGGCTCCAGAGAGTGGGAAGAGATGGAAGTGTTGGGTTATAGCAATGTAGAAGAGTTAAGATTCTACTTTCTTAAAACAAATTTGTTTCTACAAGAATATGTGCAGTTGTGCATAGTTCACCGTTAAAGAAGAAGGCCCTTCTAAGGTCAGAAGGATAGGAAAAGGGAAGAAGAGGATAACATCAGAACAGCATCTCACAGGTTGTATCCCTTATGAGGTATTTGCATATGAAGAGTATGAAACAAGAGAAATGAGAAACGTAGAGATGTAACAAGCATGGTACCCCCTGCCTCCACCATGAAGATGAGAAAAATCACTGATCTGAAGATACTCTAAGTCACCTTGACAGGAAATGTATGAAACGTGCAAACAAAGAGTTTGAGATGGCTGGCTGAAATTGTGTTGGGGAGATCTGCCCAAAATTAAGTGCGGAGCAGACCACCACAGGTGTAAGATCCCCATGTCTGATGTGGGGTAGTTTCTCCTGGCACAACCGTTCCATGCAATACTGTGCATTATGTTCAAGAGTCTCATTCTCACTCACACAGTGATTTCTCTGCATAAATGTGTGCAACTGTGCATAGTTCATCATTAAAGAAGAAAGAAGGCCCTTCTAAGACCAGAAGGATAGGAAAAGGGCTGAAGAGGAAAAGCTATAGCTGAGGGATGATGAGAGTTGTAACTGAATTGTGAAGAAATTATGGACTTGTAGAATATGAGATATACAATTCAGTTTCTCGACTCTTCTGTGTGTCTGCAAGGGTATGGAAACTTAACTTATTAACCAGAGATCAAATGGTAAACAGACAGTTCGCACCTTCCACTTCTCTACTGTAACTTCAAAGGAGGACTGAGAGGAGCCGATATTTCCACGCTTATTTTCTATCGAGGATTCTAACAACTTGTGCTGCAACCCCTAACCTGAGTTGAGTCATTTTGCTTCCTTTTAAAAATACATATGCAGAGCCAGTGGGTAAGAAAAGCTGCCTTTTGTCTTGTAGAATGAAGAGAATTAAGAGCAATTAGTAGGCCTCTGCATACTACTTTACAAAGCTATGCTGGGAAATGCTCTTGGAGAATGCCCCAGAACTACTCCATCTCTCTGCTTAGTTACAAGTCAGATAGGGTAAATGGAATTTTATTATTTTCTAGTGAGTTTCTTCTTGAATGCTGTAATCACAATTGTTCCTTTAAGTAACCTTTTCTTGTTCTTTTTACACTTTTATTCTTTTAAACTTCCCTTTTTTCCCCTTTCTCTTTTAATAAAATACAAATAACATTTCAAACAACAGTCTAAATTTTGGCTGAGAGAGTGTCATACTAAAACCAGTTCTAGCCGCAACTAAACTACTGAGTGGTGTTTTTTTTTTTTAAATTATGGGAGTGCTACTATCCTATCTTGCAAGCCTTGGTATGCTAGGTTTATGTGCCAATCTTGGGGGTCTTCATTTTACTTTGAGCTCCCCAGAGTACACTCAGTCAAGTAGACTGGACGATGTGTTAAGGAGTGCAGCATTCTCAGTCAAGACTCATAGCTTCTCCCCGTATCTGTTGAATTCTCTCATCTTAGGATCAGCAGGAGGCGCATGGCTGAGTGATGTAGAAAGTAGTCTTGATGGGGGAATGGTGACATAGTTTCACGTGGTTCCTCAGTTCTCTGTCACTAACTAAATATGGAGGCCATAAGTTGCACAACCTGGAACAGGCAATCCTGAGCTAGACAGTCCAATGATCTTACTCACCATAAAGGTGACTTCATATGCATAATTTCTGATTACAGACTAACAGTGAGATAAAAGGCAGTGACATTCTCAATCACAACACAGTCTGGGGTCCATACCTACCCTTCTTCAACATTCAAAGAACCACTCCAGCCAACAGCATATTGCATTTCTTCTTTCCCCTTTTCACTGTGTTTCCATTTTGCTAAGGAGAGAAAAGTATTAATGGTCAATGCCTTTTAATATATTAAATTGCAATTAAACAAAAAATGCTTATGCTTTCAATGTATTTTACTAAAAATCACCATTTAAAAGGAAGAAATTTGCCCATCACGAAGCTGGTTTCCCAAAGTATGTTTTTTCTGTTAATATGGTACTAAACAACTAAAACGATCCACAAATACATGTAGATTGAAAAATCAGCACATCAGCCTGAGTCCAAAGAAGCAGAAGGAGATTTCCACTTGCAGGAAAGGGCTTTCCCACTCTTTACTGTGCTGTGCCAGCAAACCACAAGCGTTTAATAAGGGTCCCCAAGCTTCTGGAGTAGTGTGGATTAAGAGACAAATCAGCAGAAATAAGAAGTGGGCGTAATCTAGCATGTGATTTCAAGATTTAATCACTAACTGTAAAAACATTTCTGCACCTGCCTTTTGGATGTTTTAGCATAGTAAACAGAATATAGCCAGAAGCTCAGAGTACAAATAGATTTTTATCTGCAGTATTCACCTTACAATCAGTATTATAACTACATGAGTATCTAGACAACTGTCCTCTTTTTATCTTCAGTTTTTCAAAGCACTAGAAACAGTAAGGGGATTTTTTGTTAAAAAAAATTATAGTGCCCATGATATTAAAATTTCAGAATGGAATAAGTACTATTTTAACATCAAAATGCTTTATCACCAAGAGTGTGTTCCTGTTTTTAACTTGAAGCATACAGTGTTTGAGGTCATTTATGTATACGGTTGCCATAACTCAGAAGCCACCTGACAGCACATTACAAATGACCATGTTACAGACAAATTCAAATGATACTAACAATGTACAACCACCTAACTCATCTGCTTGGTAACTATATTCTAACATTATGTAAAAAGGAGGTTAATACTTCAATGTATCAAAATTGTATTAAGAGCAGAGAAGGAAAATAATGAGGAAAGAATGACAGTTGCTTATTTTAGTACTTCCTGTGGATAAAAGTATAAAAAGTAATAGTAACCTCAATGCTAAGACTGCAGTACTTGCTTTTGACTAGAAAAGCTGCTAAAAGTAGAGCCTATTTTTCTCTTGTTGAATACAGAAACACAATGATTTATCACAGGCCATGGCTCTAAGTAAGCCTCAAAGAAAAAGGAAGTCATAAGAAGGTAACAATAGATGTTGATTACATAACGAGATCTAGTTATTTAACAACTTCAGATTCATTTAAAAATCATCTGAGAATCCAAAAACAATTTATAAATACTTGAGAACTGCTAGTGACAGTAATGATAAAACAGCAAAAATCTAAAATACATACAACATACTTACGAACAAAAAACACAGCTTTCTGCTCACGAGCTATTACCATGAGATCATTTGTGGGCGACAAAGATAAAACACAGTCTTGAAGCCAGGAACTTGCCTGTGTCTTGGAAGCTGATTCTTCTTCCTCATCCTGTGTACAGTGGTTTTTAGAAACATTAATGTTATGTGCAATGTATATACTGCTTTGATGAAACATACAATGCAATTTAAAAAGAGAGGAAAAAATATAAATTAGGTTATGTGACTTGAAGTTTTGTAGAAAAGTGAAAACATCTGAAATTTCCACTGCTCACAAAGATTTAAATTATTTCTAGTTTGCTGATTTGATTTTCCTATTGTTAACTATGATGGGGGCGTATCTACTGGTAAGGCACCTGCTTGGGCATTTCCCCCATCCCCATATAAGCCCCCAGGTGCCTCAAAATCCAGCTTCAGAGGACTCCAAATCCTTCCAGAGTTAGTTATCAGCCAAAGGCTGCAGGGGAAGAGAGAGGATCTAACAGTCCTGATACTACACTCAGTGTCTGGTCAGAACTTGCACCATAAGATGGCACCAATGCAAAGGCAAGTTACAGATGTTTTAACCTGACAAAATAAGCCTAGCTATACCAATAACAGAAGGGGAAGTTCATGGTAATCAGTATCTAAACTGAAAGTGTGAATAAAACTTTAAAAGTTTAAGCATTGGAGTAGAACATCTTATTCAATGGATTGTGCAAATTATTCTGAGAAGGAGCAAAACTTTATCTGTACAAGGCATAATTGATAGTAAAAACAAATACAAAAGGCTTACAGGTTCTTGTGTTTCTGATTCATCCCAGGCCCCCCAACCATCTTCTTCCCAGTTTGGTGGTTTACCTAAAATTAATACAAAACACAATTTAGGAAAAAGGAAAAAAGAAATTAAAGGCATTATTACTATACTGAGATGAGCTATTGCATTTGAATATCTGTCAATACAATGGTAAAGTACAATGGTAGCTCTAGAAAAAAAAATTGGAACTTTCAAAAGCAGTATGCTAGAAACTCTCAGCTGATGAACTTCCAAATAAAAAGGCTAAAGGCAGATTAAGTCAGCTCTGCAGATTATCCAGACTCTGCAACTGCTGCATCTCATTACCTGACCATGGAGGAAATGTATGAGCAGTGGTCACTGAGCACGTATCACACTATAAACCCAACATGCACCACTTTATGACCTATCAACTCAAATCTATCCCACATTAGTCATGTTTTTGGGCAAACATTTGTCAACCTATCAATTTCAGAAAAACAGACTGGCAACAAGAAAACAAGATGTCTGCCAACACCCTTGAAGAGTCAACCTATCAATTTCAGAAAAACAGACTAGCAACAAGAAAACAAGATGTTTGCCAACACCCATGAAGACAACACACTCTTTCTCAATTCCCCCTCCCTGCTTCATATAAAGTTATATCCTTCTAGGCATAATTAATGCACAGGTTGAAAATGATGATGAACTCCTGCTGTTGCCATAATATTTCAGCAATATTTATTTATTTATTTAGTTAATCAATTTCTATTCTTCTCATCTAGTGTCAGACCACTACAGGTTACAACAAAATATAAACAAAAAGTGGAAACAGAAAATAGCCCACCTACATAAATAGACATATGTACATAAATATCAAAAGGTTGTCAATAACATAAATTAAACAATAATTAAATAGGGAGATGAGTCTCAGAAGCCTGGTTGAAGAGCACTGTTTTTATTTGCCTTCTAAACATGAGGAGGATGGGAGCGTGACACATTTCCACCAGTAATGTATTCCATAGTGAAGTGGCCACCACGGAAAAGGCCTGGTTCCTAGTTGTAGACTTCCAGGTCTCCCTTGGGGTGGCCACCCGCAACATCAGGGATTGGCAGGTGCAGGTGGGATGAGTTGTAGTTCTGAGGAAGAGACGTTTTGATAGGTAGCAAGGTCCCAAACCATTCAGAGCTTTGTATGTCAACATTAACACCTTGAACTTAGCCTAGAAGAATACCGGCAACAAGTACAAATGGGCCAGAACAGGGGAGTCATGATCCTGGAGAACCAACTGGGTCACACTCCTCCAGGCAGCCTACGGTAACAGTATGTCAACATTAACACCTTGAACTTGGCCTAGAAGAATACCAGCAACAAGTACAAATGGGCCAGAACAGGGAGCCATGATCCTGGAGAACCAACTAGGTCACACTCCCCCAGGCAGCCTACAGCAATGAGTCATCAAACACAGCAACCAAACTTGGTTGCAGCCTGAACCCCTAAATGAAATTGATCAAGACCATTGGTGTCATCCAAGAAGACTTATAACTGGTCATCCACCACCCTCTCAATCAGTTTGCGCATGGACCGTCTATATCAGCGGTCCCCAACCTTTTTGGGGCCGCGGACCGGCTGGGGGGAGCAAGCCCAATGTGCGGGGGTGGCAGGGTCACCCCCACGCGAGTGCAGTGGGTGTGTCATGCTCACACAGGCACACGACAGCCTCCCACACGTGAGCGTGACATGCCCAACGCGCATGGGGGGGTGGAGATCCATATCCGCAGCCCATTTCCAGCAAGCCCACGGACCGGCACCGGGCCGCAGACGGGGGGTTGACAACTCCTGGTCTAAATTATGTGACTGTTATGGAATCTCAGTGCATGGAATCCATAGGCAGCTGTCTTTTAACTCAAGAATATTGTCCAAGCTCATCCCTGTTTTAATGCAACTGTCAGATTGTGTTCTGGGGATAACTAATAATTTCTGAATCACTTTCCTGTGGTTCCCAAATTCATAATGAAAATAAGAAGAAAATACTGAAGAACAAAAGGATTCTTAAGACATTTTCATTACCTACTCCAACAGCTAGCTATTTTAAAAGTTAAACTAAAAAGCATCTGGCTTCTTAGGTTTCTGTTTGCCCCTTTAGGCAATTAGTATGTTACAAGTGCTTAATACTAACAGATACCTGTAAAGCAGGAAACGCTTCTAGTTTGCAGGAAAAAAGCACTTGCCACATGTTGCCGAAGTTACTTTACTACCATTCACAACATGTTGTTCTGCTGGTATTATAGCTTTTTCTTCTTACATCATACATGTCATTGCTATAGGGACATCAGTTTTAAGAAGACAATAGCTAGTAGGCCCATACAACTAGACAACAAGCTGGACCACACTAAAACTATTCTGCCATATTTCCCAGTGCTCCATCAGGTACACAAAGGACTGCGTTCAAGAAAAGATGATATTCGAATACGAACAAAGTCCAAACAAATCCTGTTTATATCTTTTAAACAGAAGTTTATGAGCACTATCAGTGACTAAGACATTTTTGAAGCAAACACTATAGCTAAAAGAAGCTGTCACACACGTGTGTTTCTTAGTTATAAAACTGCCACATAAAGGCTATTTATTGAAATGAAAAGGTTTCCCTAGTCAGTGCAAAGTGAGTCACTCATTCTTTGTACATAATCACCAGAATAAATTTGATTATGCACTTATTTCAGGCACTTCGTAAACACCATGTTTACAAGGATCAATTTCTCATTTTCACTTACGACTTAAATTTAGAAGCATTCTAGTTCACACATAACTTAATAAAGCAGAACTAGAAGAACTCTGATAGATCTGTTTCATTCTGTTGTACAGGGAAACAGATTTAAATGGGAACATAACAAAAAAAAATTAACCTTTACTTTCTTCACCTATTTTAAATGACATGCTACCTGTGCTAAGTAACATTAAGCCAAAAATTGCTGCAAAGCAAGTCTGCAACAGATGTTTATCTACCTCTTCCCACCTCTTCTGATGTTCAGAAAAACTATACTCCCTTGCAGCTGAAAAATTATAAAGGCCATTCATAATTTACTCTAACTATGAAAAGAAAACAGCGGAAGGCATAAGAAAGCTTTAAGTTATCTACCAGTTCATCTCATTTTCTTTTCAAACTTCCATACAAATGCATTAAGTCCAGATCTAGTTTGAATGTTAATTAGCACATTTTGGTTCTCCTCAATATCAAAGTAAGGAGCAAAATTACAAAAGTACAAATTAAGCAGGTCCTCCATTTTAAATACAGCTTACTCAATGGCCAAAATCCTGTAATTCAGCTTAGTAAATCACAACTAAAGGAAACCCATTTGAATTTATGGAGAAGTTGACTCACAAATCCCCAGTGATTCAATGGACTTAGTCTAGTGCAACGTACAGTAGTACCCCACTAAACAATTAACTCGCAAAATGGTTAATTCGCTAGACAATGAGTTTTTGCAATCGCTATAGCACTTCGCAAAACAGTGTTTCCTATGGACAATTTTCACTGGATGATGTTTCGGACCGTGCTTCGCGAGACGGGGTTTTTTTTGGGGGGGGGATTTTCGCTGGATGATGTTTCGGACCGTGCAAGACAGGGGTTTTTTTTGGGGGGGACTGATTTTCGCAAGCCAACGATTTTGACAGCTGAGTCCGCAACTTGCTGATCCGCAACAGCTGATCCGCGCTTCGCAAAATGGTTTTTCTATGGGCAATTTGCGCAAAACAACGACGATTTTTCCCCATTGGAACGCATTAAACGGATTTCAATGCATTCCAATAGGGAACCGCATTTCACAAGATGATGTTTTCACAAGACAGCGATTTTAGCTAAACAAATTAACATCATCTTGCGGGGCACCACTGTATTATGCTAAGCAACAGGATTTCACCCAGCATGTGGGAAAATCCAGTGCTAAGCAACAGGATTTCAGCCAGCATGTGGGAAAATCCAATTGTCCATAGTCTTAGCTGCGGTTACTTTCCAAGACTTTATTACAGCAATGACCCCTACAGGGATGTTTTTGTTACAGTTACCATGAAATTTGAAACAGCACTGAAACTTATGATGCATAATTTGACATTTCGGCACCAGGTCAAAACCTTCTTGTTCCAGAAAGTTTTTAATTGAAATAATATCAACTGTGGGTCCTGATGGCAATTTGTACAGCACTCTACAGTGGTGCCTCGCTTAACGATGTTAATTGGTTCCCAAAAAAAAATCACTATGGGAAAACATCGCTAAGCGAAACACCATTTCCCATAGGAATGTTTTAGAAGGTGCACTAACGATCCCAAGCATTTAAAACCGTTTTTGAACATTTTAACACACTTTAAAAATAGCGAAAACGGAACATCGCTAAGTGAAACAGGGGACCTAAAACTGTCATCGCTAAGCGAGGCAAGGTCCTGAACATCGCTATGCGAAATTTCCCCATAGGGAACATCGCTAAACGGAGCGCAAAATCGCTCCAAAAACCTCATCGCTAAGCGAATACATCGTTAAACGAGCCAATCGCTAAGCGAGGCATCACTGTATTTTAATTGTATTTTAATTGTTTTATCTTTTTATTTTATTCAAATTGTTGTAACCCACCCAATAGTATGGGTGGCATATGAGTTAAATAAATAAATAGAAATAGCAAACAGTTAATTTAATAGCTGACTTTATTATGTTGGCGACTCTTTATTGCAGTTTTAAATTGCTACAATGGCAGGTCAAATGGAAAAAGCTTAAATATAATGTAGCTTTTAAAATCTTTCCTTAGGCTCACCTTCTCAGTGAAGCTTTCTCAAAACCATTTTGCACATCCTCTGGCAACCGACTCTTCCACTATTCTTGCCTTAGAAATAGTCACTTGACTAGTTATGATCACAGCCAGTTTACTTGCATACAACATTTCCCCCAACATATTATTTATTTATTTATTTATTGGACTTATATACCGCGCCATAGCGCTACAAGCACTCTCCGGGCGGTTTACAATTTTAATTATACAGGCTACACATTGCCCCCCCAGCAAGCTGGGTACTCATTTTACCAACCTCGGAAGGATGGAAGGCTGAGTCAACCTTGAGCCGGCTACCTGGGATTTGAACCCCAAGTCGTGAGCACAGTTTTAGCTGCAGTACAGCGTTTTAACCACTGCGCCACGATGCTCATATGCTCAAAGCTATTTATGTAAAGAAATAAATGCTATAACTACAATGACAATTAAAACTCTGAGGTACTTTAAAAGATTTAAAAGTTTCATTTGGCATAAGGGATGTGTAGACATTTTTGCCAAATAAAACCTTCAGAGTGCCACTAGACACTTTGTTGCTTTTTCTGGAACAGACTATTATGATTATCTTAGAAATATTCACAATTACAATACATCATAACATTAATTCAATTTCAACTCACTTAAAATATGTCAAAGTTTAAATCATTACAAATATCACCTGGTCACAATTAACACATACCTGTAATATCAACATTGTATTTGCAGTACACAAGTCAACAATTCATATTAATAAACTGAGCACAAAGATGTTGCTTTCATGTGCTCTCAAGTCACATTCAAGTTATGGTGATCTTGACTGAGCTTACAAGACATGCAACAAGTTATTTTACTAGTGCCATCCCCCAATTAGTTTCCATGGGTGAGCATGAATTTGAACCCAGGTTTCTTGAGTCTTAATACATCACTCTGTCCACTACAAACACTAATAAAAAGGTATTCACATCAAAGCTCACAGCATCAGAGGGAAAGATAATCCAAGAAAACTCTGTAGTATTTTAGATGGTCTAGTTTCAAGTAACAGAAAAAGACCTGTTTGTCATCAGGGCCCCATGTTCTAATCCCTAAAAGGACACTCACATCGCCATGATTAATCATCTTCTGGCTACTTCTGAGCAGTATAGCTAGGAAAAGCAGCACTGAAGAGAACAAAGATTCTTCTGGCATTTTGAAAACAAGGAGGTTTTATTTTGTGTAAGCTTTCAGTGGTTGTAGCACAATTCTGCAGATGCAGGCTGAAAAACAATTACAGTACATGAAGGGGGCTACAGACTACAAAAATTATACAGTACCAAATAAAACTTGTGAGTTATGTGCCATGAGAATGTTGCTATTGCTGCAACAGCTTAATGAGGTCTGAAAATCCTCTCAGTGAGCACATGCCCGCACTGAAGAGTTTAGAGAAACAGACCCCATATTCATGTATACCTAAACTATCTGCAACTCCACTGTGAATGGATTACTTCCCTTGTTAGCTCCTCACATGCCAGCTGAATGAATGGACTGGTCCCACTTCCTATAAAGAATAAAAGCCATTCTGGTTGCAAAAACGTGATCCTTTTTCACCTAGTCCCAAAACTTAAGTCCTACTTAAGGGAACAATTTCATCTTTTCATCCATTCTGATTGATCATTCATATGCAAAATACTGTTCAATCCATGCATTTGTAGCAACAACTGTCTGTAGTTTACAAGAGGGACAAACTTTAAGAGAGGAATGGGAAATTGTGACCTTTCAGTTGAAAAATCTCATTAGTCCAAGCCAACAACCAATGGTGGGGGATACTGGAGCTATTCTATGTTCCTTTTAAGTTACAAATAACCTCACAGCTACATGGGTTACACATGAACAATGACTCGGAATTTGATGGGTTAAAACGATGGAACTGCTTTCTTCCATGGAGCTTATGTTCTGGGATTAGGTGGAAGGGGATTAAGCTCCGCAACCAGAACTATTTCTATTCTTCACAGGAACTGGGGCCATTCCATTCCTTCTGCTAGCATGTCAGGAGCCAGTGTTACCTCACTGCCCCTTTCACCCATTGGTTTGCCTCACACCATAATATTCCAACAGCCATTCATGTTTATCTTTGTTCCAGTACTTAAACAGAGAAGTTTCAACTAATTTTTTTAAAAATCAATCTGCGAAATAACTATTTCTCAGACAAAAGTTTTGTGGCACTTTTACAGACTTTTAAAAATTATTACAGCATTAAGACTTTATGGACTGGAGTCTATTTCACCAGATGTGAAAGTCCACCAGATATGCCAACGTAAGGTTTAGCTTGAGAAGTGTTTGATGTTCTTGCTGCAGTATTCTTGCAGCTATTCCTCTAAGAATTAAAGCAAAGAAAAGCTTAGTTACACCTGTGTTCTTCAGAGAATGGAATCAGTCCTAGAAGGTTTAACAACTTCTGATAGCAGCAATGGACACAGTGCCTTTGCTTTTACTTGCTTGCTACAGAGTTCTACATTAGGCAGTTTTGTTTAGCTCCACAGGTATTGAGCTGAGGGGTGTCATAGGGCTCCATATTACCCACAGTTGCTATTTCACACCTATATGAAGCCAGTGGGCAAGGCCATCAGGGATTTTAGATCAATATAATTAATATTCTCTCTATCTCTCCTTGCTACTGAAGTCAAGTAAGGGTGCATAGATGCTATACAGTGTATTATCAATAGATGAGGCTGAAGCTCTGTGGATTTATAGCTTCTAATTGCAATAACTGAATAATAGGCATTCTGTTCTGGATGGAGTTATACTCCCTTAATTATTATCTTTGTCACTGGAGGCTCACACGGCCTCAGTGCCTTGGAATGCTTTTGGAAAGCTTTGACTGGCATACCAATTTGTTCCCGGAGTGGAACAAAATGCTCACAGCAGTTCACTCATTAGCATCTTCCTGTTTAGATGGCTGCAATGCACTCCATGTGGGACTGTTACAATGATACAGAACCTGTGGAATACAAAAGCAAACACTGCTGTACAGACCCTACAGAAGACACATTACACAGGCTTCAAGGAATTTTGAAAGCCAAGGGAGCGTTTTTTCCTATATAAACTTGTCAAAGTCTGAGCATCTGTCAAAGGAGCTGAAAAAGAATAAGTCCAACTACTGGATGATATATACTATGTGGAGACATGGGAGAGGTCCTTCTCAACAGTGGCACCCCAGTTACAGAATACCCTCCCTCATTCTGGCACTAAGGTAAAATGTAGACATTCACCCAGATTCTGAGGACTTGATAATAATGATTTAGTTCGAGCTTGTGAGTTTTATTTTACATTTGTCTCTTTGACTGGACTGCTAAATTGTTTAAGAAGCTTTCAACTGATTCAGTTCAGAGTCAGTTTGACTCTCCAAGTGAATGACATATTTAAGGCAGCATGATTAAACCATGTAACAGCACTAATTGTGAGCCATCTCAAGGTGCTAGAAGTTGCAAGAAAAAGTACTAAAAAAGGTCACTTTCCATTTTCTCTGTTCTAACAAATGTATCTATTTACTCAGAAGTCCCACTAAGATCACAGGTTCAAAGCTATCACCTAACAGTATAACTCTGAACAACCTTACTTATTAACAGATCCCCTTGAGTTCAATCAGTCCTAGTCCCAAATGTGTTTATGAGCGCAGTCTGTAGTCATGTGTTGATAGCAATATTTATGACCTGCACAATCTATCACACACAACACACTAAGCACTGGGTCTTGTCAGGATGACCAAGTGATCTCTCTGAAGCCAGAATGACCAACAGAGACAACCTCTGTATGGAGTTACCTTGCTGTTCCTCAAAAGGCCTCTCGCCATACTACCAATGCAAACGACACACATCACAACAGGATGGGGCCATTCACAAAAGGCTGCCCTCCTAACATCCTCAAAAAGAGGTTGGATCCGAAATCCCGATCATCATCCCGTGAAAACTGCTGGGGGCCATTCACGTTTTCCTGAAAGGGCAGAGGTGGGCGAAAACGACGGAACTCAACCCCGCTTGCAGGCACCCCATAGCCCCTAAACCACAGAAATTCAGCTAGCAGTACCACTGAGGCCACTGCACCCCATAGTCCCCTTACGGGGTGACAGTCTTGTCTGTCACAGGGGCTACTCCCTGCAGCCCCAGGTGCCCTCAAGAGCCCATCTGTCACCTGCATCCTTCCCCCCCCCCCACGCTCCTCCACCAGAGAAGCCACCTGCCTGAGTCCAGGGGGCGGAAAGGCATTGATTTCTCTGCCTTCTCCTCTTTCTCTCTCCTACGAACCGCCACCTCCGTGGCAGCCTGGCTGGGGGGGTGGGGGGAGGCTGGACCGGCTTGCACTCACCGCCACTCTCCTTGCTGCCTCCCGTGCCGCCACCAGCGCCGCCCTGACGGAGATGCGGACACAGGAAGTCCCGCGCCGACTCCAGGTCCTGGAAGCTGCAGAAAGGCACGAGCGCGCAGGCCATGGCGCCCAGAGGGTTCCTCTTCCCACCTTCTCGGAAACTGGCAACCGCCACCACCACCCCGGCCTGTCAGCTTGGCTGGCCAACTTGACTGCCAACCCCACCCGGAAGCCGTCGGCGCCTCCTCAGCTGACGCTCGTGCGCAGGCGCGCAGAGGAGCGACCAGGAAAGGGAGGAGAGTAGAGCCCTCAAACTTCAACTCTAATCACGTGGCTCTAGGAGCGCGGGGGGGGGGAGGAAGCGGCGGTGGCGGGGGGGGGGAAGCGAGCTGATTAAAGCGATGATTAGCCTATTATGGGTGTGACACGGGGTGGGGGGCGCGCGAGTCTATGTTTAATAATAGGTGTGGCTGAATGCAAAGCATACAGCCGGGTTTGAAGGACACGTATCCAAGTGTGCCTCCACCAAGCCTTAGGAAGATAGTTTCCTCCTAATTATGTCTGTGGTGGAAATGAATGCTACCGTCTCAGTGATTTAAAAAAAAAAGGCTGGCTTTAGCGTTTGTGTGCTCAAAACGCTGGAGGTTTACTTTTTTTATTTCCAGACAAAAAGGCTTACATTTAAAAAAAAAAGTTGCCCTAGTTATAGAGCTGGGCGCGATTGTGGATCGTCCTGATTTGTAAGAATGTGTATAGTTTCCGGTTTACTACGGAAGTTTTCGGGTACAATGCAGACTATTTAGGACTGTTCCGCCTCTCGTTTATGATTTGTTCCCTTAAGATTTTAGCAGGGGCAACCGTGTTGTTAGGGAAATTATGGCAACTGGCAGCAGATGAGGGGGGACAGCAGTGGTAGCACCCCCAGATACTTTTTCTGGGATCCTTGGACCTTCGTGTGTGCCACCAATAGGGTTGCATGGTCTCCCCAGACCAGCCGAAGTGGCAGAAAATGGCTCTGCTTTTCTAGGCAAGATGCAGGAGCCTCAGGGCAAAGGATGCTTGAAATAGAGATAAACTTGGGAAGGGTGAGCTAGTTTTAAGGCCTGGGTAGCCATATGCTCCCCATTCTCAACTGATACAAGCTGATCATGGGGAGGTAGAACTCCAAAACGTTCCTTTTTGGACTACAGTTTCCATAATCCCCCACTCAGGCATGCACAGTGGAAGGTTCTGGAGCTGTAGTCCAAATATTTCTAAGTTTAGGCAAATTCTTAGTATGTGTTTTGCAGTTGTACCGTATCAGTACAGGCAAGCGCAGCAGAGGGGGGTTGAGATTGGGAGCAGAGAGAACTGGTCGGTGCATGCATTTGGGCCCATTGCATCATTTGGACAAAAAGTGAGGAGCGTGCCAGTATCACAACTCCTGGGCCTTCTTGTTACATGAGACTCAACAGCAGTGGGCTGGCCTTCACCCTTGCAAAATGTTAATGGTGGTGCAGACTTCTTAATGTAATGTGTGCCTGTAGTTTGTAGCTTCAGATTTCTCTGACAATGAATTAGTTTAGCAAATTAGGAATATTTCTTGTCAGCTTTATTATATACATAACTTTGGGTGGGGAGGGTGGCTTTGAAGTAGGAAGACAATGTTTGTCTCATTTAAACTTACCCAGGAACTTTGGGTGGGGAGGGTGGCTTTGAAGTTGGAAGACAATGTTTGTCTCACTTAAACTTACCCATGTATTATTTTGCAATTGTTACACAAAGGGCTTTCCCAGTGGCATCAGAAAGTTCATTTAAACTTACCCAGGTATTATTTTGCAATTGTTACACAAAGGACTTTCCCAGTGGCATCACAAAGTCTTGGGATTAGGCCCTGAAATGTCAGGGAAAACTGATCTGGCACCCCTATCCACATGGGGTTGGCATGTAAAGTACTGCTATTGCTGAGGTTATATTCAGCTGCCCTTCCCACTAGTCTGTGCACATAGAATGAAAGCAACACCATCTCAGAGTTGCTTGTGTTTTTTTTTTAACATCAGTTAGCTAAATGCTCTGTGCCAATTCTAATAGCTTTAACACACACAGCAAAGTTGGCATGTGTGGGATAATGTCATGAATAAGATAACGTACTCAAGAATGTTGAGCAGAGGAATTTTTTTGAATTTAGTAATAAAACTTCAAAGCTTTTAGCTAAAATAGTACAAACTAAAAGATCCAAAAATACAGTTGGAGTGATTAAAGATGAAACAGGAAAGACCTGTAGTCTAATGAAGGGAAAATTAAAGATATTACAGGAATTCCTTAGATGCTGGTAGTGCAACAATCTTAGTGCCTTTCTTTGATAAACATTTCATAAACATTTCAGTACACCTCAGGACATAATTCTTGACCTGCCTTCTTGCTGTGGAACACAACTTCCATTGAGTGTATACGTACAAATAGTAGGCATCCTTCAGTCTCAAGAGACTATGGTATCGTGCTCTGTATGGAGGTCTTGGAACAGTGTCTTGTGTGGCTGAAAAGGCCAATTCGAGAGTGACAATCTCTTCCACACTGAAGACAAGTACAATCTGTCCCCTGTCCACCTTCCTGGTTTTGCTTGTTTCAGGACTGCCTCTTTGCCTCGGCCTGCTGTACAAGTGTCTCTTCAAATTGGGAGAGGCCATGATGCACCGCCTGCCTCCAGGCTGAACGCTCAGACGTCAAGGTTTCCCATCTGTTGAGGTCCATTCCTAAGGCCTTCAGATCCCGCTTGCAGATGTCCTTGTAACGCAGTTGTGGTCTCCCTCGGGGGCGGCTTCCCTGCACTAATTCTCCATACAGGAGATCTTTTGGAATCC